GGCTTAGAAACACAAATCGATTTTTAATAATTTCAAATTTGATAAATAAGAATACAATAAGCTTGCTCTAACAAATCTGATCATATCATATTAATTTACAAATATAGAGCGAAAAAATTTGAATGTCAAATATTGCAAAAGAACCGGCTAATCAAATTAGTTAGGTCATCATGTCCATGTCTAGAAAAGACATGCCACACAACTATTTAAGCATCATGCCAAATTGTGACATGAATGCTCTCAACAATATGAACCCTTCTCAAAGTACTTTACATGCCTCATCAATTCTTAATAAGCCTTCTGTGTTGTGAAAATCATTCTTGTTATTGATAAATATTAGCGTTCATAGCAAAATGACAAGAAAAATACAAACACTACAAATAATACTGGTAATACCCATACATTTCTGGCGGATATTTATCTGCTCGTATAAGTGGCGTTCAAACCTGTGCAAATTATGCCAGAAAAAAGCGGCGGAATTTTAGGTGGAAAAACCGTCGGTCTAACCGTCAGAATATATGAAACCAATGTAAAATACCAGTGAAAAATACGTCAAAGATTCCAGACAAATATCTCGCCGGCATACTTAGACCCGATAAACGTATACAACAAAATTTCCGCCGGAATATTCACCGATGGATAATCTGTCGGAAAGAACATATTTCCCTTCCTGTGGTGACAACCTTCTCATTTCATTCATTTTCGCTCTTGCACTTGCCTATGTCCTCTCGAGCTCCTCTGTCATCTCTATCACCTCCGTACGCTTCCGTCGTTAACGTACCTTCATTGACAACTTGTCACTCATTGTTGACGCCTCCGTCAGACGTGCCTCTCCACCGACGTTCTTCGCCGACACCTCTGTCAATCCTTCATTGTGAGTTACACATTAAGTTTTCTTTGCTTACGGATGTTCTCAGTAAACATTTGCAATAATGGTGGGATTGTGATATTGGGTGATCAAGTCATTAGAATGAGTGAACATTTTAGATTTCTCAAGTATATTGTTCAAAGAGACATCGATGTTGAAAATGATCGGGATATTATTAGTATAATTCATGTTGGATGTTTAAAGTGGATAAAATGCATAGTGTCTATTGTGTGATAGAAATGTATCACTCAAACCTTAAAAAAAATTCTATAAGATGGTGGTAAGACATGCAATGCTTTATAGTGCATAATGCTGGTCATTAAAACAGAAGCAAAAAGTGAAGTGTTAAAGATATGAGAATGCTCAGATTAAACGGTGGCCTCCCGATGACCTAATTAGAATGACTGAATGTTTTAGATTTCTCAAATCAATTGTTATAAGTAATGGTGAAAATGGTGAGGATATTATTCGTAGAATTCAAGTTGGATGATTGAAGTAGATGAATACATCCTGCCTATTATGTGATAGAAAAGTATTCCTCAAACTAAAAGAAAAATTGGCGTTAAAAAGTAGAGGTATGAGCTCTCTTATGTTAAGAAGATATAGAGGTATTAGATTTAGCTTATGTTGGTAAATCCATTCTCTGTCGCAAATTGTAATATCATTTAGGTACTCCCTCGCAGACCAATACACACCTTTCTTGGAGTGGTAGGATTAAAGACCACGTCCTCTATGTAATTTGACAGCAATCGTACATGTCTTTCTTGATGAGGCAGGTGGGCTAAGACTCATTATTTTTCTCCTAAATAAGGGAGACGTCGGGAGTCTGCTAAATTTTTTATTGACAGGAGACCTATGTGAGATAACATCATTTGATTTACAAATAAAATTAAAATACATATATTTTCCTTCAACATTATTTAAAATAATATATAATATCTTCATATTATATGTATGCTATATTATGGATATTAGAAATCAAAGAAGTTAGATATATAACGGATTGACGTAAGGACAAAAGATGTTAGCAGATGAGTTCGTTAATGGGGTGAATTTTTTCATTCAGATAGCTTGTCAATTGCCCAACTTTATCTCTGAGGAAAGTTTTGATACACATATTCTAAACATAAAAATCAAATGCATTTAAGATTAGATAATGTAATTGTTGATCTATATTGCAGAGGATTTTTGCCAAAATATTAGTATTGGATTTCTCATTGTGAGTACGAGCCACATTTTAATTCTTGATATGGCTCCTCTATAAGTTCTAATATAGTTGAAGAAGATTATATTCGACCAAACCTTGAGAACTTCGTTCATGATGTAACTGGAAAATAATTTGAACAATATACAGAAAAGCCATCAAATAAGGAGGCACATAATTTTTATAATTTTTTGCATGCTGCTGAAAAACCAATAAGGAATGGGTGTACTACTCACTCAGAGTTATTTGTTATTATGATAATGTTAAGCATCAAGATAGAATATAATGTCTCATGTGAATGTTTTAATCAATCTATTATACTGCTTAGGAAAACTAATCCGATAGATAATATAATTCCTACAGATTTATATTGAACAGAGAAGTTAGTTTTCAAACTTGATTTGACATACATAAAGATAGATTGTTGTGTCAATAGATGTATGCTATGCTATAAAGATGATTTATTAAAGATTGCATGTCGTTATTGCAATGCATCAAGATTTAAACCAAAATCTGGGATGAAAAAAAATCTGAAGGAAGTACCAATCAGTAGGATGTTTTACTTACCCATGATTCCTAGACTACAACGATTAATCATCCATGAGATCTGATGCACATATGAGATGACATTATGAACACATCTCGTAAGAAGGTATTATTACACATCCATCAGAAGTAGAGGCTTGAAAATACTTTGATCGTACACATCCCACCTTCTCCATAGAGTCCCTTGTTGTTCTCCTTATTCTCTTTCACCTCCCAATGTCTACAATTTTTAACAAAATTGACCAGAGTAGATATATTATACTCCAACCTCAATTGATTATTCTCTAGTCAAAATTAGTTGTTCTTCAACTCTTGTACTATAGCATGTGTAACTTTAATTCTTCGAAGGAGGGCATCAACTAACTAATAGCTAGTTCTTCAACTCCTATGTTTTTCTTGAATGTGATCATCATACTTGCTAATTTTGAGCACAAAACGACAAGCCCTCATTCTACATGCATAATAGTTGGTTTCAGATAGTTAGAAAAATAACATAGTGTTGAGAATAGGAACATTAGAGGGTTTCCTTGTTCAAAAGTTTGTTAGTCTTGAGCTAGGGTTTCCACTCCTATTTATTATTGCAATGATAATTCCATTTGAAACAACCTTTTTGATACTTTTCTCTTAAAAAAAAATTAGCAAATAAATTTGATCAATTACAATAATTATGAGACATATAAATTAACATGTTTCAAAGATGATGTGATAATTTTCATGAGGGGTGAGCTTTGCTGCCAATTTTACAACATTTTATATGTAAAGGATGTTTAACATTCCTTTACTTGAATGCGTTTGAAATGCCTAAAAGCTTCGGTGCTAATTATGTTAAACTCAGCTAAATGTTTTTTGAGGTTATCTTAAATTGTGGATTTGGCTTAAATGTTGGATTTAGTAATTTTCACCAATAAGATGGCTGATTTTAAATGCATGGTTAGCATAAAATAGGATTTAAGGAAGATAGATTTTAGTAAATGGTGGAAATTTAAATTTTTGATTTGTTTGGGACGGCTTTCTTACTGCTTCTTAAAGCAGCTATTTTAGTACAAAGATTTTAATTTTTGTACACAAAAATTGCTTTAAAAAATGATAAGAAAGCCGTCTGAAACATAACCTTAATATATATTGGGAGTGTTCAATCTCGAAAAATTATCTTGATGCGGGTAAGATGATTCACGGTTGCCATTAACACCCATCTTTTTGCATCAGAATAAGCGTTATTTGGATTTCGGTTAATGGTTCGTTTCTTAAATGAAAAAATTTCGGTTCAACGGAAAACCAAAATACTTCCTAAATAAAATCTCATTTGCCTTAAATTCTCCATATGTAAATAATTTTATATTTTATTTATAAAGTATTTTTAAAGTCTTCATTTATTACTATTTCAAAATTCAGTTAAGCAAAAATGGAATTGAATAAATTAAATTATATTGTAGTTCATTTTGATTTCATTCTACCTATAGAATTTTACTTTATATGTAGCTATTCCTATAGCATTGTACATCGACTTAAACTCATAAAAAATGATCGGATGGCAAGTCTTGGATATTAAGACTTTGTTTGAGATAGCTTTTTTTACTACTTTTTAAAACATATTTTTAGTACAAAAATTTCTAGTTAAAAAAATTTTTATACTAAAAAACTGATTTAAAAAACAATACGAGCCTAAGTCTTCTAACATCAATTTATGCTTGTAAAATCAATATAGTGAAATCTCAATATTTTTCTCTTTAGTTCTCTCATTCTCTTCACATGTTTCTATCAAAGCTATATTTTATCGTAAATTTTTGATCACTCATAGCTAAATTCGAATCCAATAATAGCTATATTAAATATGTGCATAGGCAATTATCTTTTACCAAATTTAAAATGTCGGTTAATCAACTTAATTTGTGAATACTTAAAAATTTTTCACTTATATTAAATTTATATTTAAACACTCATTTTTTTAAAATAAAAAAAAAACAAAATGATAAAAAAGTAATTAGAAGTGCAGATTTTAGTTAGCAAATTAGCCAAGTTTGATCTGAAATTGACCCAACTCGAAAAAATTTGACCCAAACCTAACTCAACCTGAACCAGAGTCCCGAACCCAACCATTTATCATACAGATCATTTAATGATTTAGATCAACACCGCTCGTATAATCCAAAAATACAACTAGTTTAATTTGAAATTTATTTGTTTAACACAAACTCAACCCGTTTAACTAAATTGAATGATAATTGAGTCAATTTAAAAATTTAGGTCTAACTCAAACCCAATCCATTGATTCAGATCAACTAAAATTTAAATTTTGTTAGTCCAATTTGAATCAAGCTGTCAGATTGGATAGCCAAAAATAATTCTCAAATACAAATAGAAGCCCAACAAGGCCCAAATTTTGCAGTGTCTGAGCTCTCAACCCAGATCTAGCTTAATCGGCGTTCCTCGCTCGTCTTCGCTCATCGAAGAGACTAGATACGTCGTTCGCCTCGCGGAAGACCGAAGCGAGAGATCAGTGAAGAAACGAGCAATTCTTCTCCTTCGCCGCCGCCTCCTCTTCAATGGTTAGAAGAAAACTCAATTCCCTAATATTTCCATCTTTCTCATGAAATTTAGATGGATTCTGTTGCAATCTTGGATTTGGGAACATTTTAGGGTTTATAAGATCTTTCTCATTCACAGGCGCCGAAACCCGTGACAAGCCCCGTCCCCGTTGCCTGGTATCCATCCTTGTCTGTCTTAATGCTTGCGATCGGCCTCATGCTCACCGCCTCCTTCTTCATGTAAGTCATATCCTCTGCGATCTAACTTTTTTCTTCAGTGAAGTGCTCTAATGGAACTCTGATTTGCCAACCTTTTTTTTTGTGTACCTGTATTTTTTGAATTATCTAGTCCTTGTTTTGGGATTCTGAAGATGTTTCTAAGTTCCTTTGACAAATAAGTTAGGAGAAAATCAATGTTTGATTCTACTTAATTTGCAATACCTTGTATTGACATCTGAGAATTCAACCAGAAATGTCATGGTGACTTAAGGAAGATGTTTTCCAGATCTTGGCATGGGTTCACGCTTCAAGTTACAGTGCTTTAGTTGGGATGATTGTAATTGGAATAAAGTTTGTTTTCCATGTCTTCATGAGCGTGGAAATCCTTTAGCCTGATGTAATTGTGGTTGCAAATGGATAACTTTTCTGACTTAAATGACGTTTTATTTGGCTGATAACGCCAACTTGTAATCGTGCAACTCTTCTAAATCTTGGATTTATCCATATCTACTATCTTCATCTTTTGACTCATTGATTTTAATTGTTCTATCAGTATGGCTATTAGTAGGCATACAAATTGTTAGGTGTGACCTACCACTCTCTAGCATGGTTACCTTTCATTTATGTAACTGGTAGATTCCAACCATTCATAGCAGTGGAAATTATACAATGTCCTCTGCATTTTCTGTTGAAAGTACTCGCTATTATGGCTTGTATTACAATTCAATTTACTAACTTCCCGGTGGACTCACATTCACTACTAACTATTGTTTTGTTACCGTTGCAGAAGGATGCAAAGGTCTAATGGAAAGGTTAAGATACCTTAACCGTAAATTGTTTACAAAGTTTGCTGCTATGTTAGAAAGTTTTAGGTATTTAAAGATAACTGGCCTGTTGCTTTATGGGGCAAAGAGAAATATCAATAGGATAAACTTGGCATTATTTTCATGTTATTGAGAAGCATTCTTTGAAGTCATATCTATCAACTTCGATTAGATTCTAGAATTGCCTATTATTAATAATATGAAGGAAAATTTTTAATGATGATGATGATTGCCCCCAATATCTTCCCATTCTTTTCTTCTCACTTTTCATGTTTATAACAAGTGCTGCAATGACTTCTTGGCAACTACTTATTGTATCTTATTGACACTCTCTTTGGGAATTTATCAAAGGACATATTTTGTGGCATTGTTAAGAAAAAATATTTTTGAAAATTTATATAAAGACCCATTCAATTTTGTGTATAATGGATTTTGAAATGAAAAACTAGTTATAGAAACTCCCCATCTGTAAATCATTTGGTTGGATACCAAATCTGGCACATCTTTCTAAAACATGTTTAGCAGCACCACAAGCATCAACATTGTTAACTTTGTTAACAAAAAATATTATTATAAAAAGGAGAATATAGAGAGCCATTCAATTTTGTGTATAATGGATTTTGAAATTAAAAAAATAGTTATAAAACTCCCCATCTGTAAATCATTTCATTGGATACCAAATCTAGCACGTCCTTCTTGATATATCTACAAAAAATCCAGACGGGGTTGGCACGAATCTCGAGGAAAAATTGAAATTGGAAAATTTTGAAATTAAATTTAAAATTATATGGACTCCAATTTCAGTAATTCATAGTCGAACAAAACGTCTCAATGAGATGAACACAACGATACCAAAAGTGGTCTAATCAGAGCCCAAATCAACACTTAAAATTCAATTGAAAACTTCAAACATTAATTGGATAACCAAATGATATCCAAATTAGACATGCTTATAGTCAAATAGAGCGGCTCTATGAGACGAATCTAACAAGCCCTAGATTACTCAATTCTGACATCATTAGGGCACTTATATGATGAATAAATGTTTCATGTTCAAGGAAATTAATATGGACTATACGATGGAGTGCTTTGGATTTTGATTCAAACTATCAAAATGTCCATTCCAAAAAGTCTATAAATAAAGTTCATTTTCACATGAGGGGGGAGGAATAAAGAAGAGAACTAGAGAGCTCTCTTGTATCCTCACCGATGACCGCCACCAGTTATTGCCACCAAAAATCACCATTGCCATCGATGGTCTTTGTCAGTGATCGCCACCTTCTTCAGAATTTTGACAAGATTTAACTCTATTGTTGGGTATAGCTATTTGCCTATGGAATTCTGTCATGGTTAGTTTTCTAATTTAATTCTGACAAGGTTAACTCTAACAAGATTTAATTCTGACAAGATTAGTTTTCTAATTTGCAACCAACACTGTACAATGTTATGTTTTCAGTGCAAGATAAGTTACTGGTCAAAACTATGCTTTTTTGCTAATGGAGTTTTGTGCATCTATGCATTAGTATGACCTATATGACATTTCATTAGTTTCAACTTATCTTTTTTTCATTTGATTTTGAATTTGAGAGGTAGTTTGGTTGTACAGTAGGATTAGCTGATTCAACATAGTAAATTTGGAAGATTAAAAGATACGGTAACTTTATAACTTAAAGTTGTTTGATAATAAGGAAAGGTAACCTCAGTTATTTTTATTATGTTTGGAACAATAGAAGTATGAGTTCAATGGAAGTGCTTAAATTTTTCATGATAAGTAATTATCATTATGATCAACACTTAACTTGATAGCTAATGAGTGATCAATTAGGAAACTAACTAAATCATTCATGACTAATTAATATTTAGAAATTATTTTACAATTTAAACTGTGCTTATACTTTGATAATTAATTCAGTAATAGTTAAGTAATGAGTAAGGATAGTTTTATTAACTAATTAATTAGTTAGCTTCTTATTGGGTTGTTAATTAATTAATTAGTTAGTTGATCGGCATATAACTAATGGCTATTAAGGCTTTTAATTTATATGTGGTGATCAACTTGTAACTGGATAACACATTGAAAAATTGGTCTAGGTTATGTATTTTGTTTTAGTATGCTAATACATGTTTAATAAATCATTATAAGTATTGCAATATGTTATTATGCTAATTAATCAACTTTATTTAATTTGTTATTTATTAAGAAGCTTCTAATAGAGTTCAACTAATTATTGAATAGCACTATTCATTGAGAGAGATGAGGAAGAGTAAGCTGAAATTAATTTTTTTGGATGTGAATTAAGATTATCCTAGTTTAAGTAGTAATACATAAGTCCAAGCTTAACATCTTCTAAGGTTTAGCTCCAGATTATTTGCCCATAATCCAGATAAAAATGGCCATTGAGAATCCATGTATCGTTCTTATGATTTTATTATATGATATTAAATCTGCTTGTACATAGTTTCTCTGTTCCATTTTATTTTCAATAATTGGCCAAAATTCATTTAACTTTTAAGCAATTGACAATCATAATTAACCTTATCATTATCACTATAATGAACCTTAACTATTAAGGTCAACTTTATGAATCATTCTTTTTAATTTTTCTTTTTTGTATTGCCCCATGAGTGCTAACTCAATCATGTGGAAGTCTTTTGGGCAAATTCACAAATTCTTGTTATGTTACCTTTAGCTTAACCTTTTTCTTTTATAAATAATCTTTTCATGTAAATATGTTTACTTGCCTTATTGATTCATCTTATTCCCTTTATTTCATAAACCATGTTCTTTATTTTGTACCACCTTATTTTCAGTGGGTGTTACTCCCATCTTCCCTTTAATGCCACACAAGCTAACGACACCATTATTTTCCAATCTAGTAAGTGTCATCCTGGATTATAGTTGACTTATGTTGATAGGGCCATAGTGGATTAATGTTATATAGGACTCGGTGGACTGGAAAGTCAATTTATGACTTAATCATGATATGGCCACTCAAGGAGCTCAATCTAATACCCAATCAAGCCCTACTAACGTGCATCAGTTATGAGATCACAATGATAAGTATTTAGCTCATAATAAAATAGTTAGGACCTATGGTCTACATGTAGACTAGCGAGTTTTATGTGACAAATTAGAGCATGCATGAACTATTTTAGGTTGACTCATTGAGGATTCACATGGGTCACACTAGGGGTAGATAGACCACAAAAATTGAGCCCATGGCCAAACCAGATTAGCCTAAACTTAAGATAGGAGTGGTTCACTCATATCAATTGTGAGCTATATGTAGCTTTGGAAGATGTAATCATATTGCCTAGGGATGAATTTAATCACCCAATGATAGAGAATGATTGATGGATTTTGACACTTGTGAAATGGTCAAACCAAGGTTTTCATGGCCTCTTTTTATAGGTCAATTCTTAACTTTTTATGGTGCAGAATGTTGGCCATTAAAAGGGAAGCATAATATTAAGAAAGTGTTGCAGAGATGAGAATGGTCAGGTGGATGAGTGGCTTTACTCTTAGAGATAGGATATGAAATTGGCATATATGTGAAATAGTTGGAGTAGCTCCAGTGGAAGATAAGATTAGAGAGAGTCGCCTTAGATGGTTTGGTCACAAAAAACGTCGGCCTTCCGATGACCCGTTTAGGAAAGTAAATGTATTACATTTGACTTATGTTAAGAAAGGTAGAGGTAGACCTGTAAAAATTTGATTAGAAAATATTAGAAATGACATTTCTTTATTAGATTTAAATGAGAGTTTAACTTTTAACATGGCACAATGGAGAAAAAAGATTCACGCAGCCTATCCCACATAGTGGGATAAATGCTTGATGTTGTTGTTGTTGGAAAAAAAAAATGTAGGGCCTTACTCAGACTTCTAGATTTGATCTAGTGCAACCACAACATTATAGTAATGAATATTTAACTTAGAAAGATCATGCAGCATATCATGATCCAATAGTTCATAGGTTGATTTGGGGATCATATCTATTGGTTCTTTAATCAATTCATGATCGTGATTTGGGCATTAGATTATGAAGAGATCAAATGGATCATGATCTTTGAAATTTTGACAATTCAATATATTGGTGGAAATTGTTAATGTTGGTAATTTTTTAGATCACACCGTTGACATTGAAGATCAAATAAACAAGAGATAATAGGTGAAGGCTAGTCATCGAACGAATGCCT